AGAAATACACTGACATTTGAGTTGGCATGTCCCTACAGGCATTCTGCTATTTTTGGTCTTTGTTTTTAGTTTTGAAAGTTTAATTGGTGTTGCTTTCTTTGGTGTACTTTGAGATTTGTTCAGCTTCTTGAATCTGTAAGTTTCTATCTTTCACCAAATGTGGGAAGCATCAGGCATTAGTTCTTTACGTGCTCTCACAGCTCTGGTCTCCTGTGAGACTTAGATAACATAAATGTGGGGTCTTTTGTTATCATCCCACAGGTCCGTACAACTTTTGTTCATTTGTTTTCAGGTTATTTTCTCTCTATTGTTTAGACTGAGTGAATTCTGCTGGTCAGGCTTTATTTTCTCTGATTATCTCCTGTGTCATCTCCACTTTTACTCAATAGAGCCCATTCTGAGAGATTTATTTTATATTTTATGTTACTGTATTTTATATTTATAATTTCCATTTGATTCTTCTTCATTCTCTTTGCTGAAGTTTTCAGTTTTTTGTTTGTTGCCATGGGATTTCTTGTTGCTTGTTGAAGCATTTTTATACTGTCTGTTAAAAGCGATGAGTCAGATGGTTCCAGCATCTGACTCATTTCAGTGTTGGTGTCTTCAGTTGTCCTTTCACATTAAAATTATTATTTTCTCAGTGGTATGACAGGTGATATTCTCTTGATTCCTACACATTTTGGTTATTCTGCTAGAAGGCCTATGTAATTTTTTTATTTTTACAGGCAGTTCTCCTGTTTAGGTTTAGTATGCAGGTCCTGGTCTACTTTGTGGGCTGTGATTCTAATGACAATTTAATTTCAGAGCCTTTATGGTGCTATTTTTGTCTGTTTGGCTTATCTGGTATCACTGGGACTCTCCCACCGGTCCCTGCTGGTGCCCACCTGAGGGAACAGGGGAGCTGCCCCAGGCTGGGCCACCTGCTGCAGCTAGGTGGGTGGGGGATGGTGGTTGTCTTGGTGTGTGAAGCTGGTTTTCTTGTGGGGAAGATTGCCTTTGTCCTGCGGGGGGGATTGAGCCTGCGTGCGTTGCCTTCTGTTGCTAGGTTGGGAGTTGGGAAACAATGGGCCTAGGTCACCCTCCTGTTGGATGGGGTCCAGGGAGACACCTGGCCACTATGCATTCCCCAGTGCTAGAGTCCCTCGGCAGTCTTTTTCTGTCCACCTTTCAGAATTCTCCATTGATCATCTCTTGTCTACTGTTTCTAGAGTTGAGGTTACACTTCTTAGTCAGGAGGGAATAATGTGTTGTCTTCTCTAGACCAGAAGTCCTTAGTGGTGGTTCTGGATTGTAACTGTGCTAAAGGAAGAATTGGCATATTGGTGATATCGTGTCTTTCTTTTTCAAATAAGGGCACATCATTATTCTGTAGATAATATTTACAACACCTACTTCCTTGGGTTGAAGAGTGTGGTTAAGGCAAGGAAAGTACTTAACACAGTACCTGGTGTGGAGAGCACTTATGAGTGTTGGCGGTGATGCTATTCTTTTTGTCCTTTGGTAGCTTATTAAAGCTTTTCTTCTTTTTTAAAAAACTAAAGTTCTGGCATATTTCTTGTTAGGTTTATTCCTATTTTATCCTTTTTTGCTTTTGTTACGAATAGGAGCTTCCTATCTGGTTCTTCCTATCTTCTACCTGGTTCTTTGGCTTTTAAGTGAAAATGTTTTAGTAGCCTTTAAAATGTTGCCTCCCAAATGAGTTTTAACGTGTGTATTTCTTTTATTTCTTTTCTTTTCTTTTTTTGAGACAGGGTCTCACACTGTCACCCAGGCTGAAGTTCAGTGATGCAATTATGGCTCACTTCAAACTCCGCCTCCCGGGCTCCCAAAGTGCTGGGTTTATAGGCATGAGCCACTGCACCCAGCCTTGCTTGTTAATTTCTTTAAAGAGTGGGACCTATAATTGAGCTCAGAGCTCCAAAAACAAATGAAGAAATGAATGAGTGAATGAGCTCTTCCCATGGATTTGGTGTGGTTTGGGGCTGTACTCTTGATCTAAATGCTGTGTTTTATATAATCTAAGATTTCTCCTAGGTGTGTTACATGATTGTGTCATGTTGAACTTACACTGAGACTCTTTGTCACATATGCTGGTATCAGCATGGGGCTTTTCTATTCACTCTTTGAACTATTCATTTGGTGGGGGGCGGGCACAGACCTGTGTCTCTCATCAAGAACATCCATTGGCCGGGCCCAGTCACTCACGCCTGTAATCCTAGCACTTTGGGAGGCCAAGGAGGGTGGTTTATGAGGTCAGGAGTTCGAGACCGGCCTGGCCAATATGACGAAATCCCATCTCTACTAAAAATACAAAAATTAGCCAGTCCCAGTGGTGGACACCTGTAATCCCAGCTACTTGGAGGCTGAAGCAGGAGAATTGCTTGAACCCGAGAGGTGGAGATTGCAATGAGCTGAGATTGTGCCACTGCACTCCATCCTGGGTGACAGATCAAGACTCCACATCAAAATAAAAACCAAAATAAAGAATGTCCATTATCTATACTGGAAAAACTGAGATTTGCATTTTGACATGAAGTGTGGAAATGCGGCTCAGGTCCATTTAGTTTACCTAAACAGATGATGAAATACTGTTTTATGAAGCATTCCCGAGTGCAGAGTTCTGCCTGTGTCTGTAATGATGGGAACAGTGAGAATGAGGCTTGGAACATGGAGCACACTGTGGGCCTGTGGCGGGTGGGACCAGCGACACATACATGCCTGGCTCACAGAGCAACCTTTGGGTGTTCTTTTCCAGAGGAGCTCTACGGTGACTTTGAAGACTTGGAAACAGGGGATGTGCACAAGGGAAAATCAGGCCCCATTACTCAGGTATGACTTTGCTATGACTGGCTGTTCTTGGTCATTGTTTTCTGAGAGAGGCCCACATTGAGAAATGCAAATCTGACTTGTGATGTGTGACGATTGCAGACTGGATGAATGGATTCCTTCCTAAAAGGTCAGGATGTGGAGACCAGAGAGAAGCTTTCTTGTTAACTTGTTTAGTTTTGGATGACATGTACTACTGCTTCTTGCCAATCATTTGCCAAGTCCTCTGCGATTTTTCATTCATGGAAGTCTTAGCTCCTTGGGGTTACATTCCACCATTGCCATTATTGTCCTCTTCTTAAATTTAATTGTCCTCTTCTTAAAATTTAAATTTAAAAGAACAAAGTCCCAGTTCTCCCTAATATTTCTTTAGAGCAGGGTCTGGGGGCATCTGGGTGAGGGACATGTCTTGTTATTTTTATTCCAGTTTGTGTTACCAGCCAGCTTAAGGAATGGAAGCTAATTGCAATGCAGATGTAACCATTTCCTGTAGCAGTACCATGTTATTCAGAGACAAAGGTTGTGTTTTGTTTTGTTTTATTGATAATGATAGCAGATTTTTGCTAAAATTTTTGTTCAAATAAAACTTTAAAAAATCTAACGTTTAAAGAAAAGACCTTCATAAATGTCTACAAAATTTTTTTCTTCTGTGAATTTAAGAATGAAGATATAGAGAAAGAAGTTAAGGAAGAAATTGACCCCAATGAAGAGTAAAGTGCCAAGAAAAAGCATTTGGATAAGAAGAGAAAATTGAAGGAGATGTTTGATGCAGAATATGATGAAGGAGAAAGCACATATTTTGATGATCTTAAAGGAGAAATGCAGAAACAAGCACAGGTGAGAAACCTCAGTTCCTCTCAGCCATCAAGACTGTCATAGCACAGGAATCTGACTTTGTTTGGGTCTCTGCTTCCTATCCTGCTTCTCTGCCATTCATTTGGACTCTGGGTAGAGATGATATGAGTGTGTTTATTCATGCAGTGAGCTCATTGTTTTTGCAGTCAGAAGATCACTGGAAAAATATCCATGCCTGTTTTGTACCAAGAATTAGGAAACAGAAGTGACTGAGACATGGTCTCTGCTTTTGAGACTTTCACAGTGTAGTGATCTGAGACAGTGTTTGCTTTAGTGCAAGC